CCAATATATATTCGCTATCTATGACTTATTTTGACAGAAGTCAAGCAACAGCGCCACTTCAATCTACGAATTTTACTTCTATGAGAAACTGTTGTAGTTTGAGTTTATTCTGACACAGAACCAAACTTGACCTGAGAACAAAACATGACCTGAGACTTCCTTAAAAAAAATGTAATGTTAGTGATTCAGACACATAATATCACTTTAACATTAATAATCAGAACAGTGGGTTTTATTTAAAAAAAAAAATTACTTTAACCATTTTAGTTCTATATTAAAAAAAATTAAAATTGTTTTAAAACTATATAAAATTAACCATCTTAGTTACATGTTATAAGCTGCCAGAAAATAAATTTTAAAATCAAAGCCATTTTGAGAAGGAAAATCAAAGACAAATTGTTTTAATCAAATGCTCTTGCAAATAAAGACTAAAAACCAGAACGTTAAAATCAATACCAGTAATGTTACAAGCCTCTGGTACTTTTTCTCATAAAATAAAAAGTTCCTTTGGGAAACTCTTTCAGCTCAGAAAAGCTGACAGTTTGATTCTCTGCCTTCCCAAATTTAGCTCTCTGACAGCACCAATACTTTTTTTTCCCTAGGGTACAGTAGTTTTGTTCAGTGAGGCTGTGTGAAAAGTCCCACAAAAACTAAAACCCATATAAAGTACCATTTAGAAAAAAAGAGATTTGTGTATCTCAAATCCAAACCTCAGTGGCTGGCCTCTACTGCCCCTCATTATTTAATGACTTCAGCCCATGACACAAACTCACTTCTGCAGCCTGAAACCCACCAGTGTCACTGCAAACAAGCAGTGGGGAAAGGCAGCAGGCACAGGCACCTCTTCATTATGGGGCATCCAACAAATACACAGCTCTCCCTGGTAGGCATTTGTAACAGATAAATTCTTAACTGAGCTTAAAAAAAAAAATAAAAAAAATAAAATGAACAAAACAAACCAGCAGTCATCTTATTAGTGCACGTTTTTTGCACAAGGGAAAATATGGAGAAGGTAAAACTAATTATTTCCAGGAGAAAATACTTAAGCTAAACCATGCTATTTGCATTTTATTGTCTCTGCAGAGGTGTAAATTGCTGTCATCTTGGGCTTTATATTGCACTGATAAGGTGCTTCTAGAAAAGGGAAACTAGGCAGAAAATTGGCATCATTATGCATTTCTGAGATGTTTATATTTAATCATTACAAGCAGCCAATCTTTGAATAATAAGTTGGGGGGGATCAAACAGTCAAAAAATAAATGTCTGCAGCTGTAAGGTTAAGACAACATCATTTGATCAATTACCTTGGAATGGAAAAAAGGACTCATCTCCCCACCTTCCAAAAAAATGCCTAACACAAAAACTACCTCAGCATCAATAAAATTAAAATACAGGTAGCCAGCTATGAATGAAGACTAAAGAAATTTGTATATAGTAGATCCACCTGCTTCCTTTCATAATGCAGGGACATTAGCAGAGAATAAATCTGAAGGTGACAAGCTTTAGAGAATTTGAAGAAGGGAAAAAGCAATGGTAGTATGTCACATTCCCACTTTCCCCAAAAACCTCTGTAAGATCCTCCACAAAAACAACAACTGGTGGAGGATGTTACTCCCAGGAATTATGACTTGAGGTCAATTTCAGTCAATGCCTGAATTTTAATTAATCCACACTGCACTGCAGTTGCTGCTGCATTTTACTAAAGACATAAAAGGAGGCAATTTTTTCATAGTGAGAAATTAACAGTAGGCTAAGTCCACTCTTCCATAGCATGATCTCTTATTAATTCAGCTGATTAACATGTATTACTAGCAAATACAGTAATTTTCCCCTTTCTTTAATTCTGGACCTTGAAGACCATCATACACTTAAATGACTGCAAACCATACCTCTTGAAGAGGCTACGTACCTGAAAGGTATCTTTGCAAGGGGTTTTCCAAACTCTCTCTTCAGTGCTCCATCTATATTTCAGGATTGAGTTTAGTCTGTATTTTTTTAAAAAACACTTTATATGTCCAATGTTTTTAATGACATTATAATAACGTAAGAAACTCTTATGGTTTCACACACTTGTACAGAAGTGTATTGCCTTGATGCACCACATGTGCTGAGAACCATGGCTGCAGTTTTTTTAAGGCAGGGAAGTCACATGTGTGAGCAATTAAATCAATCAAATCAGTATAAGCTGTGGTATGCCAGTTCCTCGTTTTTTTTCTTTTTGCCTTTTTTTTTTTCTTCTTCTGAAAACATGGTGCTCTATTTCTCTTTGCTGTATGAGCATTTAGAGGATCTAATAACAATAATGTAAAGCCTTAATGGTAAAAAAAAATAATCCAGTTGATAGTACAATGCACAGTTGTACCTCCTACTTTATTCTGAGCACTTTAAGATTTCAGGGTATTTTTCTGTTGGTTTTTGGTAGCTTGATCTGAACTGTACAAGTTTATATGCATTAAAAAAAAGAGAAAGAATTGTAAAGCTTTTGAATAAGTTGTCATTTTCCAACATTTTGTTAATGTAGAAACGAATTTAAAGCTTCATATTTCATATTCAAATTTTATACATTTTCAGTTTATGTATCAAAATAAAAGAAAAATTGATAATTTTCTTCTCATTAAGATCAGCATTTTGGCAGTTTCTTCATCAGGCTTAGCCTTTATGTGGAAATTCTAGGAACTGGATAAGGTAACATCAGGCTGATTCTCACTTCGTTGCTTCATGAGGAAGAAATTACATGCCTGTTAAAAAAGTGTCTTTGTTTCCAGGGAATGAAATGAAAAATATTGCTATCGAATAAAACAATTAACTGTTTTCTCTAGTATTACAACTGCTGGAAATAAAATTTAAAAAATGAGTTTTCATTAATTTTTTTTCATTAATAATTGTTTTTTTCTGTGAAGTCGGAAAAGTGTTAAATTTTCACAAAAAACAGGTTAAAATGGGGTAGCTCTGAATAGAAAAGAACGATAGCATTTAAAAAATAGTTATCTCCATTTTGACCAGTGTGATATATTTTTGCTACATATGCACTTTCCAAGCTGCTGATCTCCAGAGCTTTCAGCAGTTGAATTGATGGATGAAAGGAAGAAAGATTGCTTGACAGCTTGACAATCTGCCCAGAGGGGAACGGACACTGTCAGTCAGAGTTCAGGTACTGGAAGGGCTTTTGACCAGTCAACGATCCATACATGTCTAGAAGGCCAAGTGCTATTTTTTCCCCACTACTCAGCTCTTGAGAATGAAAACAACGCTGTCAAGATGCATGCAGGCCATGAGACAAAATACTTTATTTTCTACTGTCAGAAAGAACTTTCTGCTTTGTGACCACTTACTATGTTCATATTACACTCGAAGGACACTTACAGAGTCGTGTAAACACCACCAGTGCTATTGAAATGAATAGCACCACTCCTAATTTCACTACCCACTCCCGTATCCCGTACCATTACAGTGCTATTGCAGGCTGCACCACAGTTGTGGTAGCATGATAAGAAGTTAATTCCACAGATGAATCTCCCATGCTCCTGCACATCACATTGGTCATGCCTCCACACCAATGGAAGTTAGATTGACACTCTCCTTTTGGCTGGAAGGTGTGTATGAGCTGCCTCTACAAAAAGACCAGTGTCTGACAGCAAGGACTCGCTCTTCTCACCATCAGGGATTGAAAAGCATTGCTCTCCTTTGCCCATGTACCTACTTTTATGGTATTACATGTCTGAACTCTCTGGGTAGCCCTAGCAGAGGTCTCCATTGCATCCCAGGTCCCTCAAACCAACGGCAAATCTGGCACTCCTTCCCTCATTCTCCACCCAACAGCCTGGTCTCTTCTGGTAGGACCTGAAGGTGCTGGAGTCACAAGTGAGCTGCAGGATGCTCCAGCCAGCTCCCACAGCCGGGCTGGGCAGCCTGGGCATGTCACACTGTGATGCCACATGTCCACACAGATGTGAGCTTTGAGGCCTCTGTCTTTGTCCCAAAGATAACTAACGTTGGTAAAAGAACTCCAAAATGGGAGGCAGGGGGGACGGGGACAAGCAGACAGGTCATACACACACACACACACACACGCACGCAGTGGGATAACACTGTTTTCAGGGGAAAGCAGCCCAGTGACATACAAATGGGTGGTGGTTCTAACTCCGAGTGCTGTAGTGAGGTATTACAGCAAATCACAGCAGCTTACAGGGGCTTTCGTTCTGCTCAGTAAGAGGGAAGCCAGAACTGGCATAGGGAATACATCTCAACATACCACTGAGATTATGCGTGAAACAAAAAGCTACTGCAGCCTTTTTCCTTTTTTTTTTAACTCCATTTAAACCAAAGTTAAGGTATGGAAAATGTACAGAAAATATAAGTGTCCTTGTGCCTAAAGTAAGGAATACTACAGAAAGGCCATTGGAGAAGCACATGAACACATGACTACTTTTTACTGGGTCTCTCCCTTCCAAGAAAAATAAAATCCAGATTGAAATGCAGGCACCACTTTAGGTGGTGCCTACCCCGGTTACACGCTCCCAAGAACAGCAACGTTTCCCTGAAGAAAGGGGCATCCCTAATATCACTTATGTGGCATCAAAATAAAAGTCAATGAACACGAGGTGATGCTAGGGAACACAGTACAGAAGTAGTTAAGAGGCACGAGAGCAGGAAATATCTTTAAGGGGAAAATGAGCTTTTCTTGTGCTGCATCTCTGCATGATCTTCATCTGTGAAGACATTCCTGACCTGCAGACTTCCAGAAGTGACAGCTCAAAAGAGTACTGTAAACGTGGAATATGTTAGCTCTCTAAAACTTAATGTTGGGAGGAAAGAGACGTTCAGTGTTATCACAAAAAAAACTTACATGGTGATATGCCACTCTTATTTCTCATTTTTCTTTCAAACCTTGATAAAAATCAAGTACAGTTCATCCAATTAAAATATGTCCTCCATATACATTTTAGCACAAGCAATCCAGACAAACACTTCCGTGTACAAACACAAAAATATATATGTACTTTAATTTTCATTTGGTCATATTTTATTTAACAGAATGTCATTCTTCCTCAGTAACCAACAATGATTTAAATTAGTAGTACTCTCCAAAGCAGCCCATTGATCACAGAGAACTGATGATATTTAAATATACAATATAAAGAGTGACATGTTTCACAAAGTTGCTTAATCTTCAGATTTCAGGTTGGGACACAACAGACCAAAAGTAATCATCTTACTAGGTCCAAGAGTAAAATTCAAACTGACAACAAGTTGTGAAAAGAGAATAGTCATCGAAACTATACATAGAGAGAACATGATTGATAGACTTCTCCTGGCTTTACAGATCTCAGACCCCCTGAGTCCTAACAGTACTAAACTGAGAAACAGACAAACAATTTTTATCCTGAGGATAGAAGCACTGTTTGCAAATTACTCCTGTAACTTAATTTTTGAATTTTTTATAATGGTGCTATAATATTTTCCGTAAGGCTCCAAAGTAGATTGTTGCATGCGCAAAAAAATGTATTCAGTGGTTACTGCTATGCAAGTACTACAGATCACGAGAGCCTTAAGGCACAGAGAGCCAATATAGCAATTTTAGATGTCACCACAACTAGCTGTTAATCGTTATTCTCATAATAGAGTTGTATTAATAGATTACGTGAATGGTTTTACATTTGCAGGAGTGCAGAATCAACAGTTAGCACGATTTGTGCACAACCTTCATTGGGAGAGGAGCTCTTCCATAACTTACTGTTCCTTAAATGGTGGGAACTGAAGGGTACCTACCTGAAGAGGGATAATTAACAGTCAGGGGAAGGTAACATCTTAAATCACAAGTGCTGTCTCCGATGACTGTCTGCACCTGGGCAGACTCCTAGAGCCTTTTTTGTGTTCCTCTGTGATGAGGTCAGCTGTTGCTCTCATTTGCCATTTCACCCTGTTACCAGAGATTTGTATAAGGGAAATATTTAAAATAGTGGTCCTCGAGCTCTAGTCTGCAGTTTATCAGGGTGTTAGGTTTTTCCAGTAATCCAGTTTTCTCCAGTTATTCATAGAAAAAAAAGTATGAACCGAAGAGAGGATGTTGTTGAATGCAAGGGGGTAGGAGAAGAAAGGATGCAGAGCTGGGCAGGTTTCGTAGGACACATTTCACACAACAGTCCATAGGGTAAAAGAGCCAGAGAACTAAATGATTTAGGAGAGACATTATTGTCAAGTTGAACACTAGTTAACTGCAAAACAATTTTTTTTTTAAATAGTGTCAGGTATCCTATAGGTGCCCTGCTGAATATATTCATAGTTTTCGAATCACACGTTCCACTATTTAATTCCTTCTGCCGCTGATGTGTGAAAGATGCACACGAACATCAAGGAAAACCATATTTAAGGGAAAGTAATTATACACTGAGTCCCATCAAGATTACAATGCAACCAAACCCTGAAAGTCTTTAAGTTATCATAATCTTAGGCGTTACTTGTAACAATCACCAATTTAATATTTTTAGACATTGTGTAAATGCTTCAAGTTGTCAGTTTCCTTTAAATCACCTCCCCTCTGAGGAACTAAGGGCTACAATCAGCATCACCAGCAGAACTGTTTAAAGACACAGATCACCAGCTACAGCTGGAAGGCTGCATAATGAGCAGGAGGCAGGGAGGTGAGCGGGGGAGATGACCACACCGCTCACACTCAGCCTTCTACAGAGTCAGCGCTGATACCCATGTCAGGGCAAGACAGGATTTCATCCAAGTAAGTGTTGAATTCGCCCGTGAAATTATCTCTGCAGCAGGGACTTGCAGAATGCATCCCTTCCTTCTCTGCCTATGGACAGGCTGGTGAACACCACCTTTCCAGCTCCCAGATAACGGGATACCCACAGCGCTAGAGCCGCCGTGGAAACAGCAGCAGCAGCAGAGGCAATTGAGGCCTGGCATTAAACATTAGGTTTAAATATATTGAAACCAAGTCTGTGTTGGAAAGAGAGAAAGATGTCCTCTCTCCTTTCTGATGACAGATTTGTGGCGGGGTTTGTAAGCCCCCTCTAATATTACAGAGCAAGTGAAGGCCTCCTGCACCGTTTCATTTAAATGATTGATCAGTTCACTCCAACTCTGTTGTGTTCTTCTCCATAGGCTTCCCACCTTTCCTTATGGGCACGGGGCTCCTTTCCTTCTCTCCCTGAAAAACTTCTTCAGCCAGGCAGCACATGGCATTACACATACTCCTTCAGGTACCAGATCTGAATCAGCCCAGGACCCATCTCCAGGTGAGGATCTGCTGGCATGCACTGGTCCATTAAACGATGTTCAGCTACTGCCCCTACAATTTCAGACTGTAACTCAAGTGTTTTCTAAAGATTTAGGAAACTCCATCATGGCCAAACAAGGTAGACCATGTGAAAAATGGGAACTCTGCTCATAATGTAGCTGGGGGATGCAAGATAGGCTACTGATTCACTTCTTGGGAGTGTTCATACAAGTTCGCTCACAACATTTTTGCTACTTATATGGCTTTCCACTGCGGGCTTGCTTCTGTTTTTTATTTTCATTATTGTGTTTTATCATCTTCTATTATGTCTTCCCTTGCTTTTTTTCCCCTTAAATTTTTATTAACCAAGGGACCTGATTTGAGATGCCTGCCTTTAGGCTCTGCTGTATGTTGCCAATGATGAGACAGCCTTTTTAAAGAATCACAGCAGCATTTCCATATCAAATACAAATCTTAATTAACCCCCACTATTTGTCTGCTGCAAATTGACAGATATGCCAATTCTCGGGAAGTAAATTCTCCGCTAATAGCAAAAGAAAGATTTGTCACACCTTTATTAGAGAGAAATTGTTCTAAGTGACTGATTCAGAAACAACAGAGCAGGCTGATCACGGTCCCCATAGACAAAATACTTTGGCCATGTTTTAACAAAAATGTGTGTCAGGGAAGCATCAGCATCTTCCCTTGGAGGTGTCTCTAATCTGCCTGTGTGCAGTGCTTTCCCTCCACTTCAATTCCACAGTGATAACATGAACTCAGATTTTGAACTCACTGAATTCTCCTTTTTGCCTCTTTTTGCCAAAAGGAATTCTCCCTTTTGCCTCTTTTTAAACCCATATCATGAGAGTTATATGCGACATGTCTGTTATCAATCAAAGCAGTTTACACACACAAAACACTGGGGAATGGGTGACAAAGTAGTGGGAGCTTGTGACTTTCAACTTCACCGCTGCCCAGCATATCACAAGTTGTTATTTTTTAACAACAAAATCACTTTGCAAATTGTGCAATCCGACAGGGGTCAATGCCATTTAGTGGCAACGGACCCATATGAAGGGAACAAATCAAGATCCCAAAAGCTGATAGGAAAAAATTCCCACACAACTGAAAGGTGAAATGCAGACTGAAGGGTTATGTCCAAGTCAACGTGCTAAATACAGACCCTGACACAGGATCATTCAAGGTTACAAGGCAACACAGGAGGTGGCGTCCTACATACCTGGCTTGCACTTTCATTTGTAGTCATTTAAGCATGCCTCTAAATAAAACACCAGTGTTCCCTGTATAATTAATGGGAAATAAGTATCTTTCAAGGACCTCAAAAGGAGAGATCCTCTCCGCCCACCTTCAGAATTCTTTACTGGGCAGCCAAGATTTCCTTTCAGGGGTCTTCAGAGCAAACCACCTTTTCCCCTCAATTATACAGGGAAGAAGGACATTTCATCTAGGGGACATACTCACTTTTTACTGTTTTCTCAGCAGAAATGGCAAACTGTACATTCAGATTTAACTCCACGGGAAAGCAGATCACCCCTGGTTTGTAAAGGTCTTATGGTAAAACATCTAGGTAGGCTTCTAAAGAAACTAGGCATGACTGAATCAACAGCCACACATTCTGCTCACACATTTTCTCTCCTGCAGTTCAAACCAGACTGAGTAATGAAAGCATTGTTTGTGCCACAAATGAACACAATGTGAATGTCTTCCATTGAGATTTTAATGTCTCTAACTGGCACAGTTTCTGTTTTTCTAAGTAACTAATCAGACACCTCTTATTTTCTTGATTTCATAGTGTGCTTTGAACTTCGTGGTCAAAAGCACTATTCTCAGCACCACAAATACATGCTCATAAGCTACTTGCAAAATGCCTTTCTTTAGAAGGACATGATACATCCAGCCACATGACTAAGTGATTTTTTGATACAATCCTTCGAGACCTTTGCTCTTGCCTTTCACATTGAGATTTATCTTCCAAATTTGTCCTGGTACCCAATGCTGTCAATAGCTCAGCAGGACATTCCCCACAGGCAAACAAAGATTATCAAAATCAAACTCAGCGTTCCCCTCAAATCCTATTTCAATATTCTAAAGAAAAACCTGAAGTTTAATTTTGAATTCTTCTCTCTTTCATGCTCTTTCAAACGTGACTTTTTCAAAAATCTTGACGAATACATACACTGATAATAACAGAAACAATATAATAACAAAGACAGGACCAAATCTTATTGCAAAGTGTTTCCCAGGTAATTCTGAATGGTAGTTCTTATGATGCTTGGCAAACTTTTTGATTTCCCAAACAGAACAGGTAAATAATAAAACACATAAACAAAATACTGCCAGGTTACAGTTTTGTCAGGTAATGTGCTTAGACTTTGCTGTGACTGTGAGTAAATAATACAAAGAGCATTCCATGCAAAGTACCGAGCTAAAACAATTCTTTAAGAGAGACATTAAAGCAAATCTGCTCCTCCACAAATCAATGACCTCTTGAGGTTCCTTCTACTCCTATTTTCTTTAATTCAGTGTTTAGTTTATGTATGTCTCTACAAATATCTTTTGTGACCAGGCATAGCATGTTTGTAGAGTGCAAAACATCTTTTTAAATATGCTATACAGCAAATTTACATTTCTGTAAAGACATCTTAAAGCTATTTTACAACTAATAACTATTGGGAGCCCGTGTATTTGTTGGAGCTTAGTGGGACTGATTGCCTGTCTTTATAAAGCCAAGAGACTATTGACACCTGTGATTACAGGAGGAAGGCTTTGGGCACAGAAGTTTCCATAATTTTTCCATATATTTTTAAACATTTGTTTCATGGAAGAGATATCACATAAGGGGACATTTTTATATCTTGCCAAAGGCCTGAAATTATCAATTTTACACTTTTTTTTCCTCCCCCTTTATTTTCACTTAGTTGCTTGGACAGGTGTATCCAGTTTTTCCACTAAGTTCCTCATATTGCAGGATACTTTTTATATGCATATCGGCATGCATAATTACAACAAGGTTTATTCTACCCAATACACAACAAAGGTATGAAATTAAGAGGAATTCCTCCCAAGCATTTTAATTCTATTTTTAACACTTCAATTCTTCTATAAAAATTAGACATCAATTCCTATGACAATAAAGATTGGAAAAAGTTTTCAGTCCAAATTTAATCTATTAAAAATTGACCTACCTATAAAGATTTTCTATAAGAAGCAAGGGAAAGGTGGAAACCCTTTATGTACCCTGATGTGTAAAAGTGAAATGCCTTTAAAGAACACTGAGAACATATAAAGGCTAATTATTTTCCTTAAGCATTTTCGTATACTTATCCAATGTCACAACTGCAGTTACCACTGCCAGAATTTGCTTCAGCAAAATAACAGCTGCAGCTAAGAAGACCTGTAGGCCAACTCTTTTAACAGTGAGGATCTGATTCAAAAAGTGGTTTTCTTCTTGGTGAAAGATGAGGTCCCATTTAAACTACAATATATCCTACTTGCTCTTTATGGAAAGAATATATTAATATTCATTAATTTGAAACTAAAATCAAGCATCAGAAAACATTACATAAATAAGAGACTTGCAAACAAAACAAACTTATGAGCTTCAAACCAAATTTTAAGCTTCATACAGTTGAGCAGATGCACTTTCCTACAAAGATGCTCTGAGGGGACATGAGAGGCATTTGCATTTTCTGACCAGACGGCTGGTCTACTCTAAAATTAGCGTTGTGCTGGTTTACAACAAGGTTTGGCCCATGCATCCAAAAGCATCCATGAAGATTTTGATCACCACTGTGTCACAGTTTGCATACATATGGAATACTGACTAAATCCTAAAGCCCTTACAAGGAGAAAATTTCTGCTGATGTTAGAGTCTTATCTGATAAGGATTTAGAAATCAGATTGATGTCAATGTACTATTCTACTGACCAAATGTGTGGGCATATAAAACATACATTCAAATATGGCACTTATGCAAACCCTAGAGACATGTCTCACCTATCCAGTATGTGAGAAATAGGAATGAAAAAAATAGTATTTAAGAATTCATCCATCTTTCAAGTCTCTCAAAGCACAGTAGTAGCATTACAACAGTTTCTACAACTGAAAACCTGTGGGACAGACCGAAAAGACATTCAGGCTCCACATCCTTTCTCTTTGCATTTCATAACACTTACCATGAAAATAGCATTAGGAGAGCCAAAAGGCCATGACTTGTTCAGACAAGTTCCTGCAACGCGATGGCATGTTGGGGCATACTCTGTTTATCGTCGTTGCTAATGAACTGCGAAGTAGGAAAGCTTTGTCTGTGTGCTGCCTGGGCTAATCAAGGGTGATGCTGGAAGAGACAGGGTTGTCTCAGCCCTGAGGACACCAAAGCTGCCACCACAGGAGTTACACACTTCCAAGATTTCACCCGCCGCTCTCTCTCTTAACTCGTCCCAGCCTACTAAATCTTACAGCTGCAATTATCCTGGGTGAGAAGAGGCGACCTACAACCGGTGACTTTGAAACTTCAGTGATCACTGAAGGGGTGGAAGAAACCCTTTTAGCTCTGGCGCTTGGGAGGCAGGACTGCTGTGAGCTATTTTCTCCACTGTGGTCAGTGTATTCTTAACTAACCCCTGCATCACCCCGACATGATCTTACAATACCTCTAACTATTCAGATGTCTTGGTGGGCACTCTGTGTCTTCTCACTCTGATTGCAGAGTTAAATCCTCATAAGAAATGACATTCTTGTCCCAGCACACTACAGGCTGCACCAACACCAGCCAGCACACAAAAACGACACGGGCCCTGCGTTTCAGCTGATTTACCCAATCCCTACCAAAACCTGTTGTCCTTTTGAGGTAAAATGTATTTGTCCATTATGGCACATGTTCAATATATACAGTTACATTACAACCAAAACAAAAGTGTCCTAAACACATAGGCTGAGATGTTTGACTACAACTTATTCATATTAATCGTTACTTGGAGTGGGATGCTGTTGTTCTATGGAAAGTTTTACTATATTAATAATGACATTGTCTCAATATACAATCTATAATATATCTAAGTACATTGAATAGGTATGATTTCTTGTATAAACCTTCAATTAAATACACCTGTCTAACAATGTCACCTTGTATGCTCGTCCAAGATTGGTAAAAATATATATATGTATCCAGTCTCTCAGTGCACAGGATTCAGTGATAAACTTTTAACCTCTGCTGCCAGGCTTTGCTTTCAAATAGTGGTTATTACACTGTATTTAGAGGAATATTTTCTCATTCCAAGGGAGCACAGAGTTCTGGAAAAATTCTTGATGTGCACACAAAATGCAAGAGAAGTAACTCCAATGTGGCCCAGATTACAACACCCAGATTTGGGTAAGAAGCCATGTTACTTGCGAACTGTAAATGAAAAGTTAAGGAAGAAACCTCAGAGATCCACACAGCCAAACAACAAAGCTGTCAAAGAGTTGGTTCCAGCTCATCTGTTATCTTTTTCACAATGCTACATGGTTTATGCTAAATCACAATCCTAAACCACGACGTTATTTGGGAAATCAATTGCTACTGTTAGGAAACACTCAACTGATTACAGCATCTCCAGGTTCTTCTATTCCCTCTTTATCTTTGCACACGACATGAGCATTGCAGAGAGAAAACAAACCAGCAGTCAATAGGCTAGCTGCAATATGGCTTCCTATGAGAAGGATAACATTTAATTGGCTTTGATATTTTTCCTTGTCCAGTATGTGTTTCTCTGCGTATGTGTGTGTGTGCATGAGTGAGCACACACCCGTTTTCTTCTCTTTTTTTATGATGCACTTCACTAACATATTTAATAGTCACTCATTTCCATAGTATTTGTTTACCATAACTTACAAAGTCAAATTGGAGGATTATATTGTATTTACAAACAAGTTGGCACTTACAGAATAAATTACTGATCCCTCTTTGTTTTTTATTTCATTTTATTTTCCTCTTTTCTCCTCTTCCTTTTCACCCCAGGGCATCCAGAATTCAGGCAGAAGAGTAAAACCTGCTGCCTGCTGCCATTATGCTACATTACACGAGTAAATAGGATTCCAGCTGGTAGGCTCTTTCCCAATGGTTTGTTGCTGCTGAGAGGCAGTGCCTTCCACCTCAGTTCACGGCCGATGCTCAGGAACTTGTTAGTCAAGTGAAAGCAAAGGCTGCATGTTTTCTTCCTCGTTCTTATCCATGCGTTTCAGCACCCCGGGATCCACAACAGACTGAGACCTGCAGAGGGACAAGAAGTTTATTTGACATTTCTAGATCAAGAAAAATGAGGGTAAACCTCAGCTTTCTTTTGTTTGTTTGTTTTTTTTTTTTTAATTTCTTCCAGGGTTTAAAAATAATGGTATAGCATTACCTGAGCATCTGATCATTGCAAATGGTCAGAAAATACCCTCATGGAGCGATCACATGGCTTTAAAGGACTCCGTGCTGGTTAAAGAAGGGGACTCCACAACCTCCCTGGGGCAGCCTGTTCCAGGGCTCTGTCACCCTCACCGTGAAGAAGTTTCTCCTCATATTTGAGTGGAACCTCTTCTGTTCCAACTTGTGCCCGTTGCCCCTCGTCCTCTCAGTGGGAACCACTGAAAAGAGTCTGGCTCCCTCCTCCTTCAACCCTCCCTTGAGATACTTGTAGGCGTTGATAAGGTCTCCCCTCAGCCTTCTCTTCTCCAGACTAAAGAGTCCCAGCTCTCTCAGTCTCTCCTCATAAGGGAGATGCTCCAATCCTTGAATCATCTTTGTTGCCCTTCGCTGGACTCTTTCCAGTAGTTCCCTGTCCCTCTTGAACTGGGGAGCCCAGAACTGGACGCAGGATTCCAGTTGTGGCCTCACCAGTGCAGAGTAGAGGGGCAGAATGACTTCCCTTGACCTGCTGGCTACACTCTTCCCTATGCAACCCAAGATACCATTGGTTTGTGAATATAGGAGCAAAAGGTGGAATAAGGTGGATCCTCTTTTATTGAGTGAAGCAGGGTGCATCTCCAGCACACAAGAGAGGGCAAAGCAAGCTGTCTCTTGTACTGATTTAAGCACTGACCCTCTCTACCAGGAGGTTATATGGTACCAGGCTGGTAGAGACAGTACAATTCAGCCACCCAGATGGCTAATGGCACGCTGCAATTAGTGGCATGTGTTAGCTGGAAGCACAAGTTGCTCCTTTTCTGAACGGCACTTAAATGCAAAAGTGCAAGCTCCTAAGCCAACCCCAGGGAACCCTGCCACGGCCAGCAGGGTTTCTGGAGCAGTGGACACATCTGTCAAACTCACTTATCAGTTCAACTGAACAGAGTCGAGAAGGATGGCAAGGGCAAATTCAGTGATGACTGCGAAATTTCTCCAGATTCTCTGATTCAGCACAGAAGCACACCACTGGTGCTGGTACCCTGCAACAGCTGGGTGTGAGGGGAAAAGAGGGAACCCCAACTTCCAGCAAAATCAAAATGCTCCATTAAAAACAAAGTCCAAAGTGTTAAGATCGGGTCTTACACGACCTAAGTCCCAGCTTGTCAAAAAGCAGACACTTCGGGGGTACAGTAAAAGCAACCCTTGTTAGATGTTTCCCTTAATGAGATCAAATCTCGTGCTAGAAACACCTATTTCTCTTCTGTTCTGTAAAGATTTCAGATGGCTAGACCATGTGTACATCTCTATAGTGCAGGCATCTATTTTTTTACCATTGGAAGCACATTGTGACCGTAGCATTGCTACAGATTTACCCATCTGGAGAGCCACAGCACAGAGAAAAACCTTTATGAGTTCTGATCTCTCCGAAGATAAACATATAGAGTCAACCCCCCATTCTTACAAAATGGCATCATCCACTGAAACCAATGAATGAGCCTGGTAGCAGGAGGCAATATGGACTTCCTCAAAAAAATCTAAAGAAAACTTTCAAAAACACAAGAAAAAAAAATCTGAACTAAAGCCTAGGTCAAAAGTGTAAACACAAGGATATTTTCTAATAATACCACGTTCTCTTATTAATGCTAAAATCAAGAAAAATAGCTTTAAAAGCATGGCAGTCTCTCTTGTGATAAACACAATTAAAGTTTTTTAATTAAAACTGTACAATAACCCTGATCTAGAATGCTGGTCAGTTCCTCGGGCAAAAAACTAAACCACTGAACTAAAAATGCTTTTTTAAAATCTTCACAAGGCACCGTGCCAACGCAAAGCTGATTGAAAATTTGCTGGTGGGAAGCTGTACTCCTGGAAAATCTAGTTCATCAAGATAAAAAATGCTGTGGAAGCATACTAATTTCAAAGGATTCTAACTGAATGTAAGTACTAATAGAAGACTGAGCCTCTTCTTCCACTGCCAATGTCTGAGCAGCCAAGGTTTCCAGTTCTCAACTGGGGAAGTGAAGGGAGCTGGAAAAGCTGCAAACCTGGCCTTAAATTCCCAGTGAGGCAGTTTTGGACATAAATTCCCAGGGCCTCCAAACTCTGCAAATCCAAGGCAGATGTGAAAAGGAAACTGCACAAAACCTGATCTATGGGTTGTAAGCTCATGAGCCTAAATACCTTGAAGGAGGAGGAATAGTGTTCATTCAGTTTTAAATCAACATTAACTGTCAAGCTTCATTTCATTCAGCAGCAATTCACGAATGAAGGTATGTAAAGAAAAAAAAAAAATTTGTGTGAGTATAGCACCTTCTATCTACGTTACCCAAATAACTTTACAAGCATTACCGAATAAATTCTCACAAAACACAGCAGGAGAGAGTTGTACTACTAAGCCCCCTTGCAGAGGTGAAGAAGCAAAGCCACATACAGATACTTTGAACAGCTGATCAACACAGACATCTGCCCTATAGGGTTAGGTGATCCAATTCTCCAAAAGTTCAAGGAGATCAGGAGGAACCTCAGTGGTTCATATGGATGCAAAAACGAGAAATGAAGAAAATGAATTCTCACCAGGATTTTGGTTTAAGAAGGATATTCTTTCAGAGCAATAAACTAATTTTAAAATGGCAAGCCAAATTAAACAAGATAATTGCTGGAGACCTGCTAGACACTTGTGAAATTTGTTCTAAGCAGTTAAGCACTTTTCATTGATTTACTATCATGGTTTTTTATATGTTAAAAACCTTCTTTTGCACTAACCTACCACACTGAGTGTGGGTTTAAACTGAGAGAAACAATCCATCAGGAGCCAAGTTCAAGTTAAATTTCATTTTAGATACACAAAGTTTATCTGTTTTACCTTAACTTTTTATTTCTGTTTTAACACAATCTGTGTACTTAATACACTGAAGTCTTGGGACTTTCTGTCCATCTTACTACCATTCCCTTCTACTTGGTACTTAGTACAGTAAGTCTACTTAGTACTTTTTGTCTCCAACAGCAGGGAAGGAGGATGCTAGTGGGTGCTACAGATATGCTAACTGCAAAAGAAGGTGAAGAAGGTGAAGAAATTTCAGTTCAATATTCTGTAGACACAAATTTAAACATATTTATTTTCTGCAGTATGTCTCCTACTGTGTCAGCTAACCCATAATAAAAGAATGCCAATTTGAAGCTTACACTGAAGTATAATGTTGCATGAAGGATTTTTCAAGCACAGGTGAAATGAGAATAAAAATTCTTCGTGAAAGAATAAAGAATCTAGTCAATCCATTTTATGGATTGTTTTTCCATTTAATAATGTGCTTGCCCAGGATAGTCTGGAAAAGTCTGCTCCAAAAAGTCTTGTCACAGGCTTCCTCACACTTTTTTGTTGCATCCTTGTATTAATCTATTTACTCTCATGACTTAATTTTGCAACAGTAAGGCTTCTGCATTTCAGTTCCGGAATTCTGCACTTGTTTCCAAGACAGTTTCTCTATTGTCCCATAATTCTTATATTACATGCAAAACATTGCTCACTTTTCCCCTTCCCCTGGTACTTTGCTGTTTCATTTTCTCCATTACTTGTGTTAATTGCATCTTTGTTATATGGCTTCAGGACCTTTTTTGACTTTGCCTTATCTTCATTCATTCCTATCCAGTCTCTTGCCATCTCCCACTTTCAAAGCACTGTAGCGTTTTTCAACACAAAATCACGGAATAACAGAATCGTAGAGGTTGGAAGGGAGCTCATTCAAAGCACTGTAGCGTTTTTCAACACAAAGTCACGGAATAACAGAATTGTAGAGGTTGGAAGGGAGCTCAGGAGATCGTCTAGTCCAGCCTCCCTGCCAAAGCAGGTTCATCTACAGTGGCTTGGACAGCAGTGCATCCAGGCAGGTTTTGAATATCTCCAGAGGAGAGTTCACAACCTCTCTGGGCAGCCTGTTCAGTGCTCTTGTCACCCTTAAAGAAGTTTTTCCTCATGTTGAGATGGAACTTCCTGTGGTCCAGTTTGTGCCCGTTACCCCTTCTCCTGTCACTGGGCACCACTGAAAAGAGTCTGTCCCCATCCTCTTGACACCTGCCCTTTAGATATTTGTAAGCATTGATAAGATCCCCTCTCAGTCTTCTCTTCTCCAGGCTTAACAGACCCAAGTCCCTCAGCCTTTCCTCATCAGAGAAGTGCTCCGTTCCCTTTATCATCTTCACAGTCTGGACTCTCTCCAGTAGTTCCCCATTCAGCAAATCCTTAAACTTCACTGCTTTTTCTTTCTTTTTTATTTCTATGATAATCTCCTGCTGACTCCTCTGTTTGCCAAAAAATATCTCCCTTTCAGACCGCACTGTCTTCCCCAGTCTATGCAACATTTTCCAGCCAAAATCATCTTCCTGGCTGAGGAGTCTGAAAATATTTTATCCTGTTTGATCTGCTTCCAGCGTCTCCCTTTTGCATCAAATGCCGTCTCCTGAAAATGAATTCTCAGCTTAGCACATTCTGACTTAATTTTCATGACAATTTTAATATTATTTTCTGCCTTGTTTGTTCTTTTCTGATTCATTGTTAGTCCTACTCCTTTTGAGCTGCACTCTGACTTTTGCTGCACTGCTCAACTTCTTCTATCCCCCTGCTGTAATCCTTCCTCTTTCTCCTCTACTGCCCTGGCAAGGTTGGACCAGGTTTACCCCTCCCAAGTGAATCACCTCACTGCTCCCATAGTTACTGAAGAGGTAACTAACCTCTTCCTATCGTTTATTTTGAATGGCAAAATGCAGCAAGCAATTATCTTCTCAGACAGAAAAATATCAGAACACCAGGATGTTTGCCAGACTCGAGTCAAATGAGTGGCACTGATTTTTTTCCTGATTCTCCTCATTACATTTTCTCATGTTGTGTGCAGTCACTGCGACTGACAGTTCAGAGGCTGTACAACGTCCTGGCACCTACAGGCTGGTGGATACCAGGCACTGGGCTATGAGATGGAGGATGGTAAGAGTTATCACCATAATTGGCCCCAGCTGAGGGGGGCCAGGCTCTGCACCGAGGCTCACCGCAGCTCACACTGTCCCTCTAACACATGCTGCAGGCTGGGGTGGTGTGTCAGCTTATTCCACAGTACTGTATACAGTACCTATATGGCACTGCAAAAATCTTTAGCTGCACTGAGATCACAACTCACATGGGTAATAATCAACACTACGGTCTATAGTCAACAGTGATCTTCTTAAGAAAGGAAAAAAAAAAAAAAAAGATACTTGTAATAAACTGAGGGAACTACCTGCAACTTCATAAAAGAGAAGGAAGGCAAATGTTAACCTCACAGCAATCCTAGAAGGCCACAGTACCTTTAACCCACCTTTTCATGGATTTGGGAGAGAGATCCTTTTCTATATCCTTGGCAGGAGCATTGTAGGAGTCCGCATTGCATTCACTGTCATCATCATATTCATGGTCAAGTAGTGTTCTTGCCCACGTTCCCATGTCGTAGGGGGGCAACATTCCTCCAAACTCTGAAGGCAGGATCTCAGGATGTATTAGCTGATGCAGGCTGTTGAGGTTATTACCATGCAGGAATATCTGTTTGTACACACGCAGATAAAAACAAAGCAGTATCACAAAAATCATCAAAGCCCAAATTACATCATTGTTATTAGAGGATATTGTACAGGTCCAATATTCTGGCTGTGTTGGGCTAACAGAGATGACCACCAATGCACACATTGCCTCTGCCTTAAGCGTGGCCAGACTATGTTCATAAACCAAAAAAGTGACTAAAGCACAAATGACTTAAAATGTTTGCAGCACAAGGGCCCTAAGGAGGGCCCTAAGAACTGATGTCAGGCAGCTAGATGGACTGAAGACTGGACAGGCTGCCTGTCTTTTGTTATTTACTTTCCCTAATCCTGTGAATTAAATTAAGTGAATAAATTAAGATCATGAATAATAAATAAAAGTAATATTCACCATATACATTAAGGATTATATATAGGATTTCAGCATTCAGCCATGAGTTCTATAAATAAGATAAATAGCGCAACGTAATGAAAACTCCACTGAAATATTTTCTTCTTTAATATGGTGGTACTGCTAACTACCATCCATACTTGGCAATACATAAAGTATGTACTAGTAATAAAATAATTTCTGGGACAACAATGAGGGAATAGTTGGTGGCTGATTTGATATTTTCCATCAATGCTTTGGTAGACTGATTTTCCTATAAGCTTTACAGTTTTGTCCATTTATATGACATATGAATACTTGTATTCATGTTTAACTTTATTGTCTCTCCTCAAACTGATTTTCCTATAAGCTTTACAGTTTTGTTCATTTATATGACATAAGAATACTTGTATTTATATTTATGTTTAACTTTATTGTCTCTCCTCAGAGATGTGGAATGAGTGACCAATGAGCACTAGAAACATAGCACCCCTGAATTTGGACAGCCTCCTCCCACAGATACTAGGGACCTGCAGACTTTCCACTGGAGAAAATGCCAGCTCTTGGGTACGGCTCTGCAGGCACTCACAGCAGCTATTTCTAGACTAACAAGTAAGATGGGCCAGGATAAGCCCTTTGGGACTAGGAGCAAGTGCCATGGCACACTTCACATCCATATGGTTAAACTCCTTTCATCTCCAGAACATGCTCACCTCACCCATACTGTTCACTGGTCCATGCCATCTCCAAATTGTTCCTGGGCAATGCCTATGAAAGCACCAGCTGGCACCAGCCAGTGCCCTGCTGGAAAGTGTCTGTACAATTAAACAGTAGGAATGGCAGGGCCCAACCCTTTTTAATTGACTAGCAAGGTGGGATGTTGCCTCCTAGGAGCTGTGGGCTGCCTCTCGGTGTGTGGACAGACAGACGTCAAGCACTATCAATTCACATTCCACTTCACCTTGCAGGGACCTCTCTGGACAGCTACACCCCCAGCATGGCTGATCAAGAGTTAAACTCAAAAGACAGAAAGACAAAAAGACCAAATATGTGCTTGTCTTGTGCAGCCTATTTCACCCCATCTTCCAGTAAACTCTGGAGACAGGAAGCTTAATATGACCACGCAAATCCAGTAATGTTCTTCCATCTCTGAAAGGAATTTATCCTTGTGTGACAGAACAAATATTAATGCCAAAAGTAATTTGTTTTACGTGCCTTTCCAACTGAATGTTTCGCTTCTTAGCAAGTATTTTTATACATGCCTAGTACTGCATTAGTCTGAATATAGTTATCAGTTGCAAATCTACCAGACATATTAAAAAATAAAAAATAATCCAGGATAAATACAACAGCCAAATAATGAGCCTGATAAATTATGAAGAGAGTTCTGGGGTTTGGGTTTTTTCACAATTATTTGTTCTGTCTCTTATGGGTTCTTCTAAAGCTGTTTTTAAATTTTATGTACTGGGCATAATTTTCACATTCTGACATTAAGTTTCAAACTCTAAACCAATATTAAAGCACCTGACTACTTCTTTTAGGTATTCAGTATTGACAAAAACAGTTGTAAAAAGTCAGCATTTCTAAAAATACATGCCATTGATTCAGGTGCCTAAATAAAAAAATAGATGTTAACTGATAAGCACTCATGTTCAACTGCCTTGTCACTTATTTTTAATGTTGTAACACACCCATGAGCTGTGTTTCACTTCTTGGTTATGCATACACAGTACTTGACTTAAAAAGGCCTCATATCTGGCACTATAATGTTCTTCGTTGAAGCTGCAGTCAACGAAGTGCAACTGAATCCTTCAAAATGGATTTTCATTTGCATATTTATAGCAGGTATTACATAAAAGGCTTTGTGATCTATAGTTCAAAATCTGTGAATACCAGAGGCCTCTCAAGCATAATCTGCCAGTAAAAAACAGCTAAACACCAAGGATCGTTGTGGGCCATGTAGACTGTGTTTGAGGAGAGAAAATATGGAGTTGCTTAGAGAGCTGAGCCCATTAAAAAAAAAATAAATCATCACATTCTTTATATTGTCTTTCTGCATGATGCTGATTGTGTTCTCCTGGATGACAAATTTCCTGTTGCAGAAATAATATCATTCTATGTGCTATCACCACCAAGCTCTAATTTAATTGCACTGATGCAAATGCTGCAAATTCAGCAAAATCTCAGAGACTGCTCATGCTTATGCACAGACACAGGCACACACATTTCCTTTCATTTGCTTTCATCCAAATCAGTATTTGCAAACTACAATATACCAGCTGTTTATTTTAGTTCATGCTGATGTAAAGGAAATCACACTAGGAAAGGACTTCATATGCACTACCTTTGTTCTTAAAAGAAAGACACAAATAATTTTTATCGATATTGAAAATAATTGAATTGAATAGAATCTTAATAGAAACTCTAATGTTGACAATATTTTTAATATAACCAATGTGAAAGCATATGCTTACATCTTAAAATTCACTTAAGTGCACTGTTTGACTGTCTTCTTAAAGGATAATGCTGTGTAAGTTTCTAAAACAGTTAAAGATAAGCTTTATGATGCAGATATATTTAAATACTTTCCACTAAGAGCAAGCTGATATACTGTATATATCTACTTTATTAGAGTATGATACATCTGCTGACTATAACTGCCAGGTAACGGACAATTAAACAGAAGAATACCCTTTTTCGTGTCTTCTCCTTTAGAAAGGGCCGTATAACTGTGTAGAGGGCATGGATATACCACGGCTGATTGACGAAATGTATTCCTCCAAACCGAGCTGGGAAGCTGTCCTGTATGTCACAAAACAAACACACACGATGTGAATTGATCCGTAACAGAAGTTGCATGTGCATCAAATCTTTTTCTTTTTTTTTTTTTTTTCCTGAATGCCCTCATTTTAATAATAAACCTTAAACAAGAAGAAACGTTCTTCAAAATTGTGCCCTCTCAGTCGTGTCCACTCCCACACCAAGCAGCAACACACCCTGGCCAGAGGAGTGAGGAAGCGTGCGGAGACAGCTATGGCATTCAAATAAAGGCATGTCATTTCTAAACTCCAGAAATGCTTTAAACATTTATGATTTGCCCTTAATCCATCTATGCAATATATTTTTCTCATTTCCACTTCTACGGATTTTTTCATTTTTAATAGTAAAAATCTCAACTCTTCCAGTGTCATTGAAGAGCACCAGAAATGTCCCTCTCGTTTCTGCCTTAGAAAGAAAGTGTAAATCTATACTACTATTCAAAATGTCTCCAATATGATCCATATTTCATAAAACTGAGAATGCATTAAACATTATGCATAAACTGTTATGCAATATCCATGACAGTAATTCTTGTCACATAGTCAGGGGTCTTCTGGGAGCTTAAATGTAAGGATAGCACATCTGTATTGAAGCAATGACTTTTCTAGCTGAAAATCACAAGGGGCAGACAACTCACCAGGAAAGATTCTGATTTGCATTTTCAATTTCTAAGTCAAGAGAATATGCCAGAGGGTTTGGCAGTTTGAAGAGGGCAGCCACTCCGTCCTGGAATGTTATTGCCAAACTCATTGCGTGTCCTCCTTTTGTCTTTGCCTGGTTGATCATGCACTCAAACAATGCAAAAAGCTGCTGCGGTCCCCTGTGGTGCCTGGAGTTACAGCACTGAGCAAGGAAGCAAGGGGTGTGAACGGGTACGTAAATTGATGTATTTCCTCTTTTGTTTTCATGGGTTATGTCAGAACCTTCCCAGCGCTCAGGTACCCACACAACAACACCAGCTCCCACCACCTGAACACACAACAACAACCTCCAAACCAAAAAAACCATCACCCACCCACACAGTACCCCACCACAAACCAGTAATCTTGGGCACTAGAGCATGCCCTGAAGAACCATGTCTACACGTTTCTTAAATACCTCCAGGGATGGTGACTCCACCACCTCCCTGGGCAGCCCATTCCAATGCTGGATAACCCTTTCAGTAAAGAAATGTTTCCTAATATCCAACCTGAACTTCCCCTGGCGCAACTTGAAGCCATTACCCCTTGTCCTGTCATCTGTAACTTGGGAGAAGAGACCGACCTGAGAATACAGGTGCAAACAAGGACCTGTCTCCCAGCTATACCTCCTTCATGGATGCTCTAAAGGCAGCTTCAGGTCTGTGTCAGTGGGATCAGAGGCTCAAGAGGAGGCAATCAAGCAGTGAGATGGGGCACTGTGCAAATAGACAAATGTTGTCTCCTCTGGAGGCAAGATAACAGAGCACACAGAAGCATCCAACAGTCTAGATACAACCCGCATTTGCAGCATAACGATTTCAGGTCATATGGCACACGGCAAAAAAAAAAAAAATAATGGCCAAGAAAAAAACCATAAGCTATACCAACCAATCAAGAACTTAAGGAAGGCAAGAACTGTAGGAATGAAATCTTCAATGAAACGTTTCAAGATAGGAATATGCTTTGAAAAATTGCATATGCCAAGAAACCTCCTTAGTTCTATGAATGCATACAGAGCTGTGGGAATAATGAAGCCTGAAGAGGTCTCTTGCTCCTCTCAAAAGTACCCTTCAAACACTGGCAGGGACACCTAACCCCAGGGATCTCTACATCAGGGTGCCACCTGCCTCCAAATTGCAACAACTCGGTGGATTACTACATGAAATATTTTCCATCAAGGAAGCAATGCCTTAACAATAATCTATAGGGAGGATGACAGCTACAACACACACCACCAACATCTGGGTGGCCACAGCACAACAGCCACTGCAATTAACAGTCCGTTTTACAGATTTTCTCCAGAAATGTTTGATTAACAACAGCCTCGAAATAAAAAAATCCCATTGAAAGACTGTGCTACAGAAGCCTCATCTTGCTAAATGCCTAGTTCCTGTCAGTGCTGACTAAATGTCAAACAGGATAGTTGATAATTTGACATGTAATTCACCCCGTTCAATATCGTAAATCCCCAAACGCCATTTCGAGAACACAACCTCTGATGTACCAAAGGTAGTAAATTATGTCCTTATCACAGCAATCCCATGAATCCATTAGGAAGGATAAATCACTGGCTGACACCTTAACCTTTAGTTGCAGGAGATACCATTCATCTGCAGAAGGTTGTGTTTATTTGGTTTATCGGAGCTGCTGCTCCAGCAAAGAAGCCCAGTGCAGCCTGCTGTGTGCCACGCACAAAAGAGCACACACTAGAGATGCAGAAGACATCTTTTGCTAGTTCCATCTAGATGTCTTGGAAGATGTCTTAAGCGTTAACTCTTGGCAGTTAACTCTGGTAACTGTGTTAAGCCTCGTGGGGGTCAAATGCTTTTCATAATGTAGGCACTATGGAAGACAGCAAAGCAAAACAGCCATTCCTGGCTGTGTGCTTTCTTGCATGATTTTATAAGCTTTTAATTTAACACAAATGCCCCCAAACTTACACAAACCAAGTTATGAAATGTTTGCTCTGTATTGCTCAAAAAATGTCTCCCACAAAAACTGAGGAAAATTTGTGAATGGGAAGATCTCAACAGGCAAACAGCCACGCACACACAGAGATTCAGAGCTGAGAGCCACAGCTATTTTTATTCTGTCGTGGGCTCAGCAGAAGGGATGAGTTGTCAATACTCAGTATCTTTATAAAGATGTTAAATTTCTAGCAGATAAAAGGAATATCTTTAGAAAGTACCACTTTGACACTTCTGCTACCTTTTCCTGCATCTTGGAAACCGTGTACATGGAAGATCATGAATATATGTGGAATGATCCTCAAATCAAAGATGCCACTTGATATCAAAAGACAATTTGTCTCTGTGTTTTTCAGCAATTCTAAAGGCATTTTCCAGTACTGACTAAAGAAGTCAGATATTTATCAATTTCTGTGACTGAACTGAGGTGTTCAAATTCAGAAGCACTTCCTAAGATGTAAGTAGGGGCCCGGAAAGAGAAAGGGTGGTTTGGTGAGAATGATCCTGCGTTGTACACAGTGCAGGGATGAGAATTCAAAAGCTGCTGAGTGCAGATCTAACACCAAATCTCAACAGCACCTGGTGAGAAAATAAAAAAGTGGAATAAGCAACTACAGCTGCTGGAGAAACAGGTGTCAGAAGGTTGTCTGGCTCTTCTCAGACGTATCTGACTTCCACATGGGGATTTGTCAGACAGATGGCCATGCTACACAAACAGCAGGTAGGAATTTCTTCCAAATCATTGATTCTTGGGGTTTTTACATAGATTAAGTCACAAGCGTGGTGGCAGTCACAACTGCCTCTGTAGACATATTGCACTTCAACAGAAAAGCCTGTAACCCATGATTCACATGAATTCTAAGTAAAAGGAATCACATGTATTCTAAGTAAAAGGAATCCCATGCCAGAAAACAGTAAGAAATGGAGATCAGCCATGAAGTGAGCTGTACATTTGACTGGAAAAGTAATAAATCTGATGGGGTACTACCAAACCACAAAAAAGAACTAATTATACATACACAGTGTGTGGATTTTTTTAGCAGTCACAATAACCTCTGTTTATGCAGAAGAAGACAAGCTACCCGTGCCTCCGATGAACACGGTTTGGGACACGGCCGCGCCACAGACACAGGAAGCAGGTTGTTATTACTGGGGACCAGAGTCCTCCTCATACAAAGCTTGCAAATGGCCATTAACAGTGGGCTGCCAAGGAAGAGGCAGACCCCTACACTACTGTTTGCAGAACTGGGAGACCCACCAATGCACGGCAGTAACTGACCTCTAACATCCATAAGCCCGCGTTGGAGAATGATCCCCAGCAAAAAATGCCATCATCTCTGATGACGTGGTTCTGCTCCCTCACAACACAGCAGTTTTACCTCTCTGCCACACACAATTTATACAACCTGTCTCCACAAGCTTCCTCCACAAGGATCCAGCTGCTGTTGCCTGCTACCGCCCTCGGCACACACTAAGAACCTGGGTTTTTACTTGCTGGGCATCACATCCCACCCTGTGATGGATTCAACCATCACCTGAGCCAGCTCTCAGGGTTTCATAGAGAGTCCCTCCCTCTGCTGTGGCCAGCAGAAACTCTTACAGCAAAACCAGTATATGACATTTTCAACAGTACCTAAGAGAGGAAACTGCCAGATTCCTACTGAAAATCAGCATGTCTTCTCAGTGGTGTCAGAATTGTCATCACAGAGGTAATAAAAATGGCCCACCTTTTTCATTGTTGCCAAATGCGAAAAATTAAAGAACTTCTTAAAGCCAAAGCATCCTCCACACTTTGGGTATGACGTTTACATATAAACCTCCAAAGTCTACTTTTAAAGAATTAGTGCCCCAAGCTCAAATCAGTACTGGAGTCAAATTTGTTTCTACAGCTCTTAGAAGTACAGTCTTAGAAGCTGCTGGGACTGCTGTGTGCCCAAAGATGCACTGGCAGCCCAGCCACATCAGGGCCTCACAACTGTGCTGCACAGGACCTGCAAACAGCCCATCTGGAAACACCTTGCCACATGCTAACACCACAAGAGGGGTTGGGCACGTGTGCTCTGGGGTCATGTCTGAGGGTTTGCTGTCCTTATGGGCAGTGAGACTGCTTTGGCGGACAGTCTAGAGGCACCCTTCAAAGGACTGTCTAGACAAATTCAGGGAACACACTCACACTCTTTTCTTAAGGCTGCATTTGAGTGCTGTGATGAATTCAGGCCACAGCATCTGCAGGCGACAGGAGGCCACAAAGTCAACCCTATGAAAACTGTATCTTTCTAATAAAAATTACAAGTTCAAAGATAGCATAATAAATTAATATCTTAAATGTCACTCA